ATAAAAAAAATGATTATGCCCGCTAAAATTTTTCCTATAAGTTTTTGGCCGCTCTTAAAAAATGTTTCTCCATCACAGGTTTTAAGTGCACGCTATGAAGGAAAAATTGACATTGATGTATAAGATAAGGGAGATAACTTAGGTTAAATTATTTAAACCTCTTCTACAATAGTTACCCTACTTAGATGCATTTTAAGATAATTTTAAAGGTGTTAAAACACTACTAAATCGAAAGTAATTTGTCTATCTCTGCTGTACCATGCTTGAGCAACCTGGGTTCGTAGTCTCCAGGAAGGACCAGATGACCAAGTGATGGAAGAGTATCTTAAAGGGATGGCTGCCTGGGCCTGTGTGGAATGCTCTTAGATCTGGCAACCTTCAATTCTGAAAGAACCTCCGACACTAGTAAATCAAACAAACCGTAAAGGATTTATACAATTCTTGGATACCTTGGGGTTTTTAGAGTTTGGATTTTACGTTCCTATTAAAGTTATTTGTTTTGTCATTTTTGGGCTATATGTCTATTTTTTTTGGCTTATGGCTCTTTTTTTTTGGGGGGGGGGGGGGGCTTATATCTCTTTTTCGGGCTTACACCTCTTTTTTTTTTTTTTTTTGGCATACACATCTTTTACGGCTTATGTTTCTTCTTTTTTGGCTTACACCTCTTTTTTTTTGGACTTATACCTTTTTGGGATTATGTCTTTTTTGGGGGGCTTACACCTCTTTTCGGGCTTGCACCTCCTTTTTGGGTTTACGCCTCTTTTTGTTTTGGCTTATGTCTCTTTTTTGTGTTTATGGCACTTTTTGGGCTTATTTTTTGAGCTTACACTCCTTTTTGTGTGTTGGGGGGGGGGGGGGGTTTATGGCTCTTTTTTGGGGCTTATGTCTCTTTTTTGGTTCTTATGTCTCTTTTTTAGTCTTACACCTCTTTTTTGGAGGGCTTATGCCTCTTTGTTGGGCGTAGACCTCTATTTGGGGCGTATGTCTCTTTGTGGGGCTTATGCTTCTATTCGGGGCTTACATCTCTTTTTGGACTTATGCGTCTCTTTGGGCGTATTATTTTGTTGTTTTTTTTGGCGTATGCCACTTTTGGGCTTAGGCCTTTTTTTTTTTGGTTAACGCCACTTCTTAGGCTTACGCCTTTTTTGGGGCGTACACCTATTTTTAGGCTTACGTCTCTTTTTGGGGCTTACGCCTCTTTTGGGGGCTTCTTATCTTATAAAATATGATACTTCAAAAAGAAGATGATTACGTCCTACGCGTCATGCATTTAGTCATGCATATTAACCAGTGATCTAAACTCCGCCACGTCACTGGTTTCCCTGGCTTATGCCTCTTTTTAGGGCTTATTCCTCTTTTTTGGGTTATTCCGCCTCATACCGTTTTGTTTTGTGGACACCTATTATGGATGGTGTGTGTGTGTTTGTGTTTGTATGGTGACGAGAAAGACGACTCCAAATTGCCAGAGCGAAAAGACCTAATTTTATAGTGAGCTACATTTGTTCAAAATACTATTTTATATTATCACTAAAGTCTACTACATTTATTTATTTAATTTCATCTCAAGTTAAATTTGTCTGTATTGCAATCAAATTTATATTATAGTATTCTTCACAAAGAAGGTTTCCAGGTTATTTTAAGTTTTACTAGTTAAAATATAATACGCATACTGCGGTTTAGTTGTCTACCCGCAGTTTGGGGCTACAAATCAACGGCCGTCAACAACAGCACCCACCGCCGATATTGGTTGTTTCCAAATAATATCGGGGGAGATTGAAGTCCCTCATGGAGGTTATGATGTTTAGTTGGGGGCTGCTTATTGAGCAGTGTGTATGTATTCGCGTGTTTCTGATGTAAAGATGAGAAGAGTTTGGTGTGTGCTGAATAGATTCGGACGAAATCACCAGTTAAGTTAGTAATGTAAACGTGGAGGAGAGGAGAACACGCAAGAGACGCGAAACTTGTTGTTTAACTCTTTCTCTCCTAATCGACGATACCATCGTTGATTTTGACCTCGATAAATTAAATTACTGTTTAATTTTTTAAACTTGACTTTGAATTATATAAAAAGAGCAATGCATTCCCCTTTAATTCTATACAAAATACAACCGTTTCTGATAACAAACAACAAAGGTATTGAAGCCCAATCATAACAGGGCTAGTGAAATAGTAATGAGCGAAATCAAGAATTCCGTCGAAACGTGGAAAAAAAATGACTGAGAGAGAGAGTAAATGAGTCATATCTTTTTGAAATTATCATTTCAGTTGTGTTTCTACACACACTCATTCTTTCAAGTTGACTCTGTGTTTATTTCAAGTTGACTGTGTTTATTTCAAGTTGACTCTGTGTTTATTTCAAGTTGACTCTGTGTTTAGTCATAAATGAACGTTATAATCCAATTTGTTTTAAAAAGATGTCAGTTCAAGTTTGTTTCAAGTTCTAGTTTAAGAATTTCATATGCCTACATCGGTTTAGTTGTAGGCTTCATAGCTGTTTCGGAGCTACAAAAACAACGACCAAGCGTCCCAAAGCATCGTTGAAACTTCTCTTTCATATAAATCAAAATCTATTCCTTTGGTAAACTAAATATTACGAAAATAACATCTACATATTGACAACATTATCTACTCTCAATGAGGAAAATGGCCTGGAACCTGACATCAGATAAAATGACAATTTCTGTGAACGAACATCTGCGTATGTTTTCGGACGAAATTTCATCATGTTTTCCAAATCTTCATGACATCCAGTTTGCACTCGCTAGAAGTCCATACACAGTCAAGGTCCAAGATGTGCCAGGAAGTGCGGTTTTATTGCTATCTATAAATAGCTCCAAACGTTTAAGCGACGTCCTAACTCTCTACACAAAGTAAAAGGAGGGACCAATTTAACTTATACCACTACATGATACCTCTCAGAAATTAATTACTAATAATATATAACTAATTAATCTTTTTTTTTTTTTTTTTTTTTTTTTACTGATTCTTGTTTTGTCAGGTACTTGAAATAATTGTGCAAAATTTTAAATTGACCCGAGATTGGGTGTGGGAGAAATAACATGTACAAACTTTTTCTAGACAGACAGAGTGATTTGATTTAAGCTTTGTAATAATGAAATTGACAACGACGTTATAATGACATGTACTCTACACTATACTAAATTGTCGTCTCAAATTGGCGTATAAGTGTGCTCCATAAATATGGTGTAAAGCTACATGAATATGATGTAAAAGCTCATAAAAATTTCTTCCAATTTCTCCTTCCCTCACTGATCCACAAAATAGTCAGGACCATCATAATATAAAGCAGGGGTTCTCGACCCCTTTGGGGGTTGAATGACCATTTGCGAGGGGTCGCCTAAGACCAACGGAAAATTGATTTTTTTTGGGGGGGGGGGGGGGTATTTTCATCGGAAGTTTTTTTTAGAATATATCTTGTGTGTGTCTCTAACGTGTTGTAACAAGCCTATGTGTGTGTGTGTCTCTAACGTGTTGTAACAAGCCTATGTGTGTGTGTGTGTGTCTAACGTGTTGTAACAAGCCTATGTGTGTGTGTGTCTCTAACGTGATGTAACAAGCCTATGTGTGTGTGTGTCTCTAACGTGTTGTAACAAGCCTATGTGTGTGTGTGTGTGTCTAACGTGTTGTAACAAGCCTATGTGTGTGTGTCTCTAACGTGATGTAACAAGCCTATGTGTGTGTGTGTCTCTAACGTGATGTAACAAGCCTATGTGTGTGTGTGTGTCTAACGTGATGTAACAAGCCTATGTGTGTGTGTGTCTCTAACGTGATGTAACAAGCCTATGTGTGTATATCTCTAACGTGATGTAACAAGCCTATGTGTGTGTGTGTGTCTCTAACGTGTTGTAACAAGCCTATGTGTGTGTGTGTGTCTCTAACGTGATGTAACAAGCCTATGTGTGTGTGTGTCTCTAACGTGTTGTAACAAGCCTATGTGTGTGTGTGTCTCTAACGTGTTGTAACAAACCTATGTGTGTGTGTGTCTCTAACGTGTTGTAACAAGCCTATGTGTGTGTGTGTCTCTAACGTGTTGTAACAAGCCTATGTGTGTGTGTGTCTCTAACGTGTTGTAACAAGCCTATGTGTGTGTTTCTAACGTGATGTAACAAGCCTGTGTGTGTGTGTCTCTAACGTGATGTAACAAGCTTGTGTGTGTGTGTGTGTGTCTAACGTGATGTAACAAGCCTGTGTGTGTGTGTCTCTAACGTGTAGTAACAAGCCTATGTGTGTGTTTCTAACGTGATGTAACAAGCCTGTGTGTGTGTGTCTCTAACGTGATGTAACAAGCTTGTGTGTGTGTGTGTGTCTAACGTGATGTAACAAGCCTGTGTGTGTGTGTCTCTAACGTGTAGTAACAAGCCTATTTCTACTCTAGTCGATATACATTTATATCTTAAATGCCGTAGGTTTAGAAAATAATTCATATTATCTTATTATTAAACAAATTATGACACGATCGTCAAGTATCAATAGATTTTAAAAAATGGGAATAACAAAGAGATAGATCTATAATTACGGACCTATAGCCAGGGGATACGAAGGACACTTGAAGTGAATGTATCATCATTAAACGTAAACGTGATTTTTAGTGGTAGTCATTTCTTTCTTTTTTTTTTATAATTGTTATTCGAAAATATTTGTAGTGGACCACATCTTCGTTGTCGCAGAATACTTTTTCAACAACCTAAATTACTGTCCATCAAATGCGTCGTAACGCCATTGCGCGATGAAACATTTCTATGGGTAAGATCTAATCACGTATTGAAGAAAATTTAACACTAGCAAAATCCCATTTAATTAAGCCAATGTATGAAAAAGATTTCATGGATGGGGGTCGCCTCCTAATCTAACATTGTAGTAGCTAAAAAGGTTGAGAACCGCTGCTATAAAGCATGAAAGTTGCGCTCATTGACAGATTTGGTTGCCTTTTATAAAAAAAAATATTTTTAAAAAAAGGGAAATAAAAAAATAAAGATTCCATTTTAGTATCCAGTAGTATATTGATATATTTATAATAAAAACATATTTTTAAAAACTTACATTAACATAAAAGGTATACTTGCGAGAAATTTAAAAAAAAAGTATACGATAGTGCAAAGTACAATGTAAAAAACAAATGTTAGTGATATAGAATTAGAACACCACACAGATTTGTATACTTGAGAGCACGAAGGTCAACATACAGGTCTGGAAGAAACAGTACCCGATTTAACTTGGTCAGACACATCACATGCACACATTCAAAAATGTGTATTAATAGTAATAATAATATATTATAGTTTTTCCGCCATGTATGAAAATTTCCCATAATGCAACAGGTAAAACTTTTCAATAGTATTATTTTTTTTACCTAACCCACCTCATTAATTATATAGAATTCTAACGAGTCAATGCTTTCTCATATAGTCATATAAATCTTCAAATATTATAGATTAAAGACGTTACTTCAAAAAAAAAAAAGAATATAATTACATCCTACGCATTTCATGTATCAATTTAATCATATATATTAATCAATGACTTAAACTCTGCTATGTCGTTGCCTTTCCTGTGTTATTCAGGCAAACCATTCTATTCCCTAATGGCACTAGGAAAGAAGGAGAACTTACATGACTTTGTTCTAGCGTATGAAATAAGAAACGTAACTCTATCTTTGTGTCTGAGTATTTCATTAGGTACAAATGTTTGGCCCCAACACAAATATTACTTAAACATCGACATGCATTTTTTTATTTTTACAAGATACAAAGAAAAAAAAAATGTTTTTACTACAGACATCTACATGTAATAAGGAGAATATAGACACCATAGACTTATATATTATATCTAGACTGGAAACCGGAAACACTATCCGTTGTTGATCGATTCACAGACCTCAAGGAGGTTATATTTAGATGGAGATGGCGTGACGTCACTAGGTTGAAGCCAAATCGCAGCCATCTTGGTCTACTCAAATTAAAACGTGTAGTCTGTTGTTTTTTTGTTGAGAAATTTGTTCGACAATATTTCACGACATTATTTAAATATCTGTACATTGTACAATATCTTATAAAACGTTAAAAACACAGTGTATAGAATAAAATAAACATTACAAATGCCTTCTTGTTCGGCATACGGTTGTACGCAACGACGACCAGAAAACGGGATATCGCTTCATCGGTTAGTTTGGTTTTTAGTCACTAAAGACTAAACTTTAGTGTGTTAGAGTTTAGTTAATGTTGTTAGTGCCATTTAATTATTTATATAAATTTTGGTAAAAGTGCATTTTAGCGGCGTCTATTATTTTTGTAACGTATTTATGTAAGTAAGGTTAGGGTAAGTATTAGCCTAACCCTAATCCTAACTCTAACCCTAATCCTAACCCTAATATTAACCCTAACCCTAACCCCACATTTTACATACTAAACATTTTAGATGTAGGCCAGAGTTTAATTAGGGAAAGATTAGTTAGTATTACTGTAACATTATTATTAGTAGTAGGTAGTAGTACTCTTTTCACTTCAATTTTATCAATTTTGTGGTGATTTCAGTGCGGTAAAAAGAATCAAAAATATAACAAACCTCTTGCAAATCATTTTTGTGCTTTTTTCAGCCCACAATAGTGCTTAATTTCGATGTAATCATTATATTTCGGTTTTGTAGGCCTCGATCAGGTGATCGTATAAATCACTTTACATGCTCTACAGCGCTTTGTAATTGATCCATTGGAATATCTAGACCACAGATCTGAACTTGGGCCTTAGAGGAGTTTAGAAAAAAAACATGATGACAAAATACGAGGTTAATTTGAGTCGTTACGAGAATTAGAAAACTGGTATCGCAATGAAAATGGATGGAATGTTTTGAGTAAACCAATATGGCGAATAGGCTCCGCCCACTGGCTTCAACCGATAATGAACATTTGATAGCAACCGCCATCTCCATCTAAATATAACCTCCTTGACAGACCTATATATAGAGATTTTTTACAAACTCTAAGGGAAATCACTCCAATCAATCTTTTCTGTCTTAGAAAAGTAATGATTTTTAGTTTTCAAAGTTTAGAAATAATGCAAAATCATTTCTCGGATTTTTTTTAGAATGGGCTATTAATCACAGAACTATATATTCACGCTGATATATGAAACAAAGCCATTTCCTGCTAGTTTCCATTGAGATAATGTTTCAAAAAATCCTAGATCGAAATAATTCATGTCTGTTAATTTTAATCATCTTATGAATATTTAAATAGATTGAATGCATAGATCTTTCTACATTATGTAACTAAAAAATGCAAAATAATAATTATGAGACGAGAGTACTCTTTTTTTGATGATCAGTTTCTAGATCTAGGTCTAAAAATTAAATTATATGTTAAATAGGTTAGGGTTGAAAAAAACAACTTTACTTTTATAGCTACTTTACAAAACAAGTCTATGATAGGCACTTTAAAATCTTAGCACCAACACTCTACGTAATCACAAGGCAAAGGTTTGCCTAAATAACGATACATTCAAATTCATCGTCTGACACAGAAACTAAAAAGCAAAAAATGTGAATTAATCGAAGACTTCACAAAGTCAAGGATTAAGATTTAAACACTCGACATTATGGACACGCGCGCACACACACACACACATACGCAGTAATTGACTTGAATGAGGATACAATCGTTGAGAAGTAGATGCTGAGGTGACAGAGTAAAATCCATTGGGCCTATATTTCTTTTTAAGCGTACAAAGACAATGAGGTTTATGCGTGCGTCTCTTTTTCTAATTCAGAACCGAGGAGAATTAGTTTTAAATCCAAAAAATTGAAGATACATTAAATTACATTAAATATCATGCTTGAACTTTGTTGTATATATGTAAAATTATTTTATTTACATGAAATCTAAGTATTGTATACATTATCAAACCCCAAATAATACATATATATATATATAAATATATATATATATACTGTCAATAGATTTCTCATATTCTCTAGTGTCTCTACTTTAGCTTTTTAAAATCTTCCTATCCATGTCAAGATTAAAAAATGATGGAACTTTATAAATTTTTCAAAGTTTGTTATGGTATCTTTAGTGAAACTTTTATTTGATCTTGTCTCTATATTTAACTTTATTTGTTCTAGTATCTATATTTATTTATTTTTATTTGTGCTGTTTAATTTTTTTTCTTATTCTTCTGTTCTGTAGTTTTTTGTTTCCTGTGGTCTCTATACTTTAAGATTGAATTACTTTAGTCCTTGTGTCGAGTTAAACTTTTTATTTTTTTTCTAAAGTCGAGTTAGCTTTTTATTTTGTTCTGAAGTGGAGTTAAGCTTATTATTTTGTCCTGAAGTCGAGTTTAGCTTTTCTTGCCCGCATGCATCAAAAATCCTCCGGCCGGAATGAGAGCGTCAGCGACAATACACAGGATGTAAGAGTATCCAACATCAAACACATTCTTGACGTCATCCTGGATTGTTGCACCCCAGACTACAATGCAGATAAAGATGGCTACTCCTGAAATAAAAATAAAGTAATCACTTCACTTGTAAACTTGCAGACGTTATTATTATTATTACGACCTAGCGCTACGCTCAGTCAGGACGGCTGGGATGGCGACAGTCAGAGCTTTAAACAGGGACTATCGTAACGACAGTTACAAGCGCTTACCACAAGACCAGCCAGCTATCTAGCTATCAAGGGCGGATACAGAAATTTTAAGTTGTTTGTGGCGACTTTTTCTAAAAAACCAAACCCCAAACCCAGTAAACCCCAAACCCACTAAATCCGAAGTTATCCCTAAGATAGGGTTCACTCTTAGAACACGAAACAAAAAAAAAAGGTTTATATTAAAATTTAAAGCCGTGTTTCGCAAATCTTCGGCCGAAACAAAATTAAATTGTTGCCCCACCTCTTAGAGAGCTAGGACGTCTACATAGTATCCATCCTTAAAAAAAAACCAGGAAAGACAAATTTAGTAAAAACAGATTCAGGACACGTGCAAGTATAGCAGGCCTGTTTTGGTCAACAGAAGACGTCAACAGAACGATGGTTCGACGCTCTAGGGAATTAAAGCGTGTAGAATAAGTTTGGCTAGTACATATAAAAATGTCTGCTTTAAATCAATCTTTTGAAGAATTGTTTTTACTTGATCAATTTTCAAACTACTTTGGAAATATCAAAGATTTTTATTTTACCCGGGCCTCGTCAGCAAGATGCGCCCCGGGGGTTGAGATCGCCCGTCTGCCTACTAACAAAAGACCCTAATTTTTAGCGGCCCCAGTAAGGGGGAAAAGCCGCTATTAGGTTTGTGCAAAATGTCCATCTGTCTGTCTGTCCGTCTGTCACACTCAGATCTCGAAAACTAGAAGAGATATGAAAAATTTTATTTCATCATTAAATCAGGCTTGAATAGTTTAGGTGCAACGGCTACTTTTGGTTTTCTAAAAGCAAACCGTTTAATTTATGAAATTAATTATGCAAGCGATTTTTTCATAAAAATACACCAATTCTAAAACAATTACGTAAATGTAAGGGAGGCAATGTTACAATATGCTAACAAGTATGAGTTATTTTTGTGTATTTATAAAATGTACAGTAAATGTTTACAACAAATATAAATAATAGTTAAAGATGTTTTTTCTGGTTAACTAGCTGCTAAAACTAAAAGAAACATTTCTGTTTGTTAATAAAGGCTAATAATGCACTTTGTATGTAAATATCATGCACATTTTTTAAAATGGACTTTTTAAGCAGCGACTTTCGTGCACTAGCTTAACGTCGCGAAATGGACAGACACTAAACCAATTCCTTAAACTTTTTAAAAAAATCAGATTTTATTTATTTTTTTGTTCAGTGCCCCCATCCGAATAAAAGAAGCTTATTTTTGTGCGTTTTGTCTGTTTGTCGGTCTGTCCGTCACGATTAGATTAACAAATAACACTAGAAATTATTGTAAATCTGATTTAACCTTTAATTTTTCATTCAGAAATATTGCAATAGTTTAAAGTATCTATAATAGATTGTTCCGGATGTTTTGTGAAAAACAAATCAATGCCAATGAATATTTGTTTGCTCTTCTAAGTTATCGTAGATTTTATTTCCATGCTTAAACGTTGCAAGAAACACATGATCTTTAATATATTGTTCCGTTTTTTTTTTATGTAAATAGCATATAAATGCTAAATAAAAATATCTATACTGATTTATATTTCATTAACTATAAAGTTGTTCCGGATATTGGTTTTAAAACAAATTTATGTCAAATAATTATATTTTTTTCAAAAATATCGACAATAGGTTATTCAGGATTTTAAAATAAGAAAGTAATTTACTAGAAACGATTATTGAAAATAAATTTTTAGACTTATATTACAGTTAATTTTCTTGCTGAAACATAAAAGTTGTTTAATCGGTAAAGAACGTTCCGGATTTTGTTTCGAAAAAGAAATCGACCTACATTACCTTAATTTTCTTACAAATCGTCGCCAAAAATGATCCGAATTTTATATGAAAAATCTAATAACGCTAATAAATGTTTGAAATCCCTCTTCTAATAAATAAAACAAATAATTTTCTCATTTACGAAAATTGGTTGTTCCGGATTTTTTATACAAAAAATTGTTTAACTCTATTTATGTAAAATCGCACTTCTCTGTTACACTACATTTAACTTTCTATCTAAAACGTTAAAAAATATAATTATCGTTAATATTATGCTCTGATTTTTAAGGAAAACAACTTCCTAACACCAAAGTATGGTTTGATAAAATCTCCATAAGGGTATGGTACATCTAATTTTCATAACAGACCATCCCACAAATTTAATTAACGGCATTTGATTAATCTAGAATTCTTATTTTTTTCTAACTATAAATATATAAACATCCGGAACAATCTATAATAAAAACTTAAAACTAATGCGATGTTTCGGAAGGAAAATTAATTTTAATCAGATTTTCAATAGCTTTTTGTCTTTTTTTTTCTCGCTATTAACATAACGAACAGACAAACTGACAGACAAAACAAAAAAAAAGCGTCTTTAATCCTTTTATATATATATTAATATATATATTAAGTCTAACTAGCCCATCAAATGAAATGCTCAAAGAACAAACTCGGTGCATCAATGTCTATGATCCCTCGAAAAGCTGCTCGTATAGATGACATTTTTTAGTCTAACTAGGACGTGTGACGTAATGGAATCTTTTTCCTTTGACGTCACATGGAGTTAATTCTTTAAATGAAATGCTAAAAGATCTCACTCGGTGCACCAATGTCTATGAACCCTCGAGAAGCTGCTCGTAGAAATGACATTTTTTAGTCTAACTAGGACGTGTGACGTAATGGAATCTTTTTCCTTTGACGTCACATGGAGTTAATTCTTTAAATGAAATGCTCAAAGATCTCACTCGTTGCACCAATGTCTATGAACCCTCGAGAAGCTGCTCGTAGAAATGACATTTTTTAGTCTAACTAGGACGTGTGACGTAATGGAATCTTTTTCCTTTGACGTCATATGGAGTTAATTCTTTAAATGAAATGCTAAAAAATCTCACTCGGTGCACCAATGTCTATGAACACTCGACAAGCTGCTCGTATAGAAGACATTTTTTAGTCTAACTAGTACGTGTGACGTATTGGATTTTTTTTCCTTTGACGTCATATGGAGTTATTCTTTAATGAAATGCTAAAAGAAATCACTCGGTGCACCAATGTCTATGAACACTCAACAAGCTGCTCGTATAGATGATATGTTTTAGTCTAACTAGGCCTTGTAACGTAGTGGATTTTTTTCCTTTGACCTCATGGAATAAATTCTTTAAATGCTAAAAAAACTCGGTATAGTAATGTTTATTAAACCTCGTAATGTGACTCGCATTTTAAAAAGACATAATAGATTTAGATCTAATCTAGATTTTTTACACTAGATCTAGATTTTTGTTTACACTAGAGCTAGATTTTTAAAACTAGATTTAGATTTAAGTTCTAATTAAAATCATTATAGAATCTATATCTAGAATTTCTTGGTCTAGTTTAGAATGTTTGTTGTTTTACATGTTTCGGTTGTTCCTTCAGAGTTGTAGTCCAAACCTCCCGTAGGACGACGGGGAATAGGAGCAGGCAGGGTTTGAACCTGGGACCATCGATGAATCCAAACGACAGTCCAGCGCGCAAACCGCACTACCAGACAGCCATGATTTAGACTAGATCAAGATCAAGGCTTAAAGTGTATATTTTTTTTCTAAAGTCTAGATTGTCAAAATGTCAATATTGCAATGTTATAAAATACTAAAACTAATCTACTAATCTACTATTTTAATATTTAGATTTTGCAATTAGTCTATTAATTGATTATCTAGTGTTTTTTTTTAAAATAAATCTTATCTAAATTACATCTACATTATCCCAAATATATATTTTAGATATATTTTTACGGTCTCGGTTTCATACCCTGTTCGATGCTATCCTCAGTCAACCAGCGAATATGTGGATCCGACAGTGATCAGTCTCCCACGGGGGCCGCCTCTGAGTTTGTGTGGCAACATAAACTCTCTTTGTAATCTTGTTTTTTTTATTTTACTTGATCATTAACACTATCAGTGTAAAAAATCAGTTACTAATATATTTATATTTACTATATATTATACTCTTATATCAAGTCACCCTCTTCTGTAATGTAAAATGCAGTCATTAGTAAATCTAAAATATAGAGAGGGCCGTACCTGACTTGACTAATCCTTTACACTCTACCGCACCTCTACCTTTTCACGCCAAAACATTAAAAAAACAGGATAGTTAAACATGGCGGCAGTTTTTGTGTAATTCCAGAGGTTCCCAATTCTTCTCAGTCTCAGATTTTTTCAATATAAAACTAATTTTGGGTCAGTAACTTATCTAAAGCACAGGCATAACTGCTTGAAATAAACGAAATTTAGTGAGTACATTATTC